AAAATTTATGCCTATTTTGCTTCTTTCATTCTTCCAATCATTAAAACCTGGCCGATAGGTTATAATTAAAACAAAATGAAAAAAAAAGATAGAATCTGGAATGGCTTCTCCCAGATTTTAAATTGGACAGATTTTAAAGAGATTCAGCCTAACTTCCCAGGTCATATACTAAAACAGAACATGTAAAGGAATGGCCGACAGCTGAACCAGGCCTGCTGCTTCACCCTACTTCTCTCACCCTGTTCCTTCTGTGCTAAAGTCACCAACTGGGCATTTCTTTCTCATTCCGAGCTAAAGAAACCCAAAGTATTCTGTCAAAGGAGCCTGTTGATTAGAGCAGTTAAATAGCCCTACATATAGAAAGGAGCCCCAGCACATGCAGAAGTGGTCTCTCACTGTGCCATTCCCTCTACAGTGTCACTGTCGGAGGTAATCCCATGAGGGGAAACGATGAAGAACGTGCCACCTTTTGAGGAAGTCCATTTCATTGTTGGATGGTACTGCCTTCTACTGAGCCAACAATCTGCCTTCATAGAGTTGGTTCCATGGATCCAACTGGTTTTCTTTCTGGTGTTACACTTCTTTCTTTCCTTTCTGATAGGATTTTATATTCTTACAACTGGCTACTATGTTAATCCTTTAAATCTCTTTTCAGATAAATTATTCCTAGTTCCTTTGGGTCTTCCTAGCATGTCATATTCAGAGTCCTTTCTACTTTGGTGTCTTCCAGAGCACTCTGTAGTTGTCTTCGCAGAATCTGGTGTCAGAGAATCACAGGATGTTCAGGTTTGGAGAGACTTTGAAGATGATCTAGTCTACTTCCTCTGTTTTAATTAGCCAGTAATCAGTAATGCCAGTTTAATGCAGTCGTCAGTAAATGATTACCAACTGCAGATTTTGCAGCTAGATTCAGTGAACCTACAGGGATGTTTTAAAGCATGTCTTGCTGGGCATAGTAGCTCATGTCTGTAATGCTACATTGGGAAAGTTGAAGCAGGAGGATTGCTATGAGTTCAAGGCCAGCCTGGAGTACATAGCGAGTTAAGGCCAGCCTGAACTGCATAGTGAGACCCTGTCACAAAACAAAATAAAATAAAACAACATTTAGTCTTAAATATTTGCATTTGGAATAGTAGAGCCTAGAATTGTAAACAAAGTCTAACAAACCTATGTACACACACAACATCTCTGTTAACAGAAATAACAGTAAGTAATAGAACTTTCATTCATACACTTCTGTTATAATTAGCATGACAGTATCCTTGCTGTGCCACAGTTTCTACGACAGGTAGCGGGTCTCAAGTGCACTCTAAAACAGAAAGTCTGGATAGAAATCATGACTCCAGTGAGGCATCAGAAAAAACTTACAGGGAAATTTTATGCCCAACTTAGTCAAATCCCATTGTAAGAACATTTTTGGATATTGAACAAGTACCCTTCCCTTATGAATTGAGAGGTTAAGAATCTTTGGACTCAAATAGCGACATTTGACTATAGAATATTTTCACACTTATGAAGCACATTTCCCTTTTATTTGAACATGATTCTTGTCCCTTTTGTAGAAGAAGAGGAAAACCAGACAACACATGAACAGAGTTTCATCTGCTCGCACCTCTCCATAAACCCTGTAATCTCTCCATGATAAAATCCTTGCAGCCAGGCATGTAGCACACCTGTAACCTCAGCTATCCTAGAGGCCAAGACAGAAAAATGATGAGTTTGAAACTAACCTAGGCAGCTTAGTAAGACCCTATGTCAAAATCTAAAAAAAATAATGATAAACACAGTTGCATACTTCAGTGTTTCCCAGGTTCAGTCATAGTACCACTCCCACCCCATCAGAATTCCTTTATTTCACGTTTATGACATTTGATGTTTATCTACTTTCTGTGTAAAATTTATGCAAAAGTAGGATACTTGATTTTTCTACAAAATGAAAACCCCAGGGTGTGACCCTAACTTTATATATCTTGTTGCTTCTACCCAGAGAAACTCTGTGTTCTTCTGGCAAATTCCTGTTCAACTTTTAATATCTAACTCAAGAGGCACCTCTCAGATGTCTTTCCCTCTACGTGATTTGGCTCTGGCAGAGTGGGTGACTCTTATTTTCCCACTGTGTTTAAAAGCACTTACCACACTGTATGTTGACTTTTTGTTTATGTCTCATAAGCATACACTGGGGTCCAGGTAAGGATGCTACCTTTTTCACCATTGTACCCCCAGAACCAAACACTGATTGTTTTTATTGTAAGAAGACAGGTCATCACTTGTTGCATTACTGCTGAGGTTTTGTAAGGCCATAGAAGAAAACGCCTGTGTTTGCAGGCACCACCTGACAGGCCCTGCCCCTGCAACTCCCACCACCTCCGCCAAGTCAAGACCAGCTAGGGGCACTGACTGCAAGAGAGACACGGCCTCTCAGTCTCAGATAAGGAAAGGATTCTGTGTGTGGAGTTAAATTGCTTTCGTTGTGAACAGTACTTCGTTTTGTTTTGTTTTGTTTCAGTACTATTTATTAAATTTTTTTTAACTTTGGGTTTGTTTATTTTTCCTCTTTGTTCTATGATTAGTTGTTTTTTTAAGTACATGTGTGCAGCACACATAATGATTTCCATGCTTTTGGGTCAATTCAGGGGTTTTTCCTATCCATAAGAGCATTCTACAATTTCCTCTTGTCTAAAATGGGTCATTAAAATGAGGAAGTGAAAAAAATGTATGTAAACCACCAAGTACAGTATCTGGCAACTGACCTTTGCTCAGCAGGTTGTCATTATTCCACAGTTTTGTTATATTATGAAGTTTCTTCATAATACATCCACGAGTTAAAAGAGAATATTAAGTGATAATCTAGTAGTTGGACTACTTGTCAGTTTTCTCTCAGTCCCAGGTATCATTTGATGGATGCCCTTTTGCTTTGTACCAGCATTTGATTAAATACTTTACATGCTTCTACTGTCTATACTTGTAAATTTCAGCATTGAAAAGAAACCTGCATGCCCTGTGTCCTAGCTCACACTAAAGTAGGAACCTGCACCCCTGGGTTTGGGATACAGTGATCACATATTAGCCACCAGTGTATTATGATGAGGAACATGATTATTCCAGGGCCTGCTGCCTTTGTTTTATAGGCAGTAGAAGATTTCTCACCTGGAAACGTCTATACTTACAAATTTCAGCATTGAAAGGATCTTCCAATGAGATTTTCTCTGGTAGGAAGATACACAAGGCATTGTGAGTTGGTTTGGGTTTTTGTTCTTATGTAACTGCCTAAGAAATAGGACAGGATGAGATGACATACTTAAGTGTCACTTCAGAATGACAGTTTCCACTCTTGACTGACATAGATGGCAGAACACAGCTCTGACCTGGCAAAGAGAGATTAGCTAGCACTGCTCCTTAGTTTTAAATATATTTTCACTCATCAAAACAGATTTCATGTAGGATTCTTGTGTCGCCCATTTTTTAGATAGCTTGGTAGTTGAAAATGTGTGACTTTCAAATTGAACTACTTAGGGACTGGGGATTTAGCTCAGTGGCATAAGCACTTGCCTTGCAAGCAGGCAGTCGTGAGTTCGATACCCAGTACCAATAAAAATGAAAAAGACAAAAAAACTGAACTACTTGTATTTGAATCCCAGTTGTAACCATGTGACAAGCTTGGACAAGTTAATGAACTTTCTAGGGCTTGTTTTCATCTGTAAAAATGAGGACTGTAAAGGTTTTTACCTCCTGAGCTAGTTCAGATAACTAAACCGCATAAGCCAAATAAGGGTTTTTGCACAGTGCTTAACACAATTCTTGGTAATGTTAGTAACAACTTTCATCATTCTATCTATGTAAGTTGGGAAATGCATTCAGAAAATGCATTCTGTTCCTTATTATCTTTTCAAAGTTTTCTCTTTCAGCTCCTTTCTTGGTGCCTTGGTACCTGGGCCCAAGAGAGTGATCTGAATTGTAACTATTGGTAGTCATATGTTTCTATCCATTCCTATTGTATTAATACATTGGCCTCCCAATACCTTGGGAGCAAATGCTTTCAGCAAAAGACCAGAAAGTAAGTATCTTGAGCTAGACTGCGTTGGTCTTTCTGCCCACATATTCTTATTCCTTTTTTAACACTTGAAAAAAAGGGTTAAGAACCTTCTTAACTTGAGGGCCACACAAAAATGAATGTAGGGCATGGTTTTCTGACTTTTATTCTCTCTAACACCATGCTCTAGAATGGCAAAGTCTTGAACCCTAAGGTTTTGTGCCATTATTTAGGTAAAATGATAGTAGTAGAAAAGTAATAAGTTAAGCATTAAAAGTGGAGTCCCGCTGAAAATAATATGATCTTTTTTCCCATTGTCTCCTGCAAGGGTCAGATGATGCTCTTCTAAAGGATCTTGTAAAGTTCCATACCTAAGATCAAGACAGGCTTGTGAAAGGATCTTTTGTATCTCTCTTCATAAGCTCTGTGAACAACCTCTGTGCCTGTGACCTTACTCCAGATTGACTTGGAGCTTCAAATTGTAATTTTAACTTTAAATTCCTGGGGTTTTCCACCAGCAGGTCTCATGTCTGGAACAGTCATGCGTTACGAAAATAGTGTCTGTTACTGTGAAGCTATGAGCATGACACTTTTTTACAGCAAAAATAAAAAAAAAAAAAGGAACCACATTCTTTGTAAAATGACAATATTAAGTTATAAGTGACAATGATAAAGCAAATATTTAAATTCACAGCTAAAATAGTACTTGTAAAATATAATTGCCGTAGAAACTGTGCCAGTTCATCATTCTTTCAGATGATTCTCAGTAGGAAAACATTATTCCAGGGAAAGTAAACACTTCACAAGAACTCCTTTCAAGCTGCATTTATCGAGTACTGTCTTGGTCTCGGAGATGTGCACAGGCAGGGATGCCACTTGTACATGCTTATTCTTCCCCATGGAGTCCCTCTGAGCTGGTTTCCTCTAAGTTCAGTTTTGCTGATGGAATGGCTTCCTTTATCATCTCTAGGAGAATTCCAGTGATGGCGGTGAAGGCTTATGTGGTGAGAAGAAAGACGACAGCCGGCCAGGTGAGACTGTGTCCTTCTGAAGACAAGGAAAAGTACAGCTTAAGTTTGTAGTTACCTGGAGTTTATATCTATTAAAATGCTATTTTTTAAGAATACTCTTTTTAAAAGCCAAGTAAATTGACTTTTACAGTCCCATAGTTAGACATGGCTCTGGCCTTCATCTCCCTGACATTGAAATGCAAAATAAAATGATATCTTAAGTTAGGATGGACTCTACCAGGTATTAGAGGAATTAGATTTTATAGCTGTTTGTTTGTTTGTTTGTTTGTTTGTTTTTCTTTGTTTAGAAAAGTTAGAATTTGCATTTTCTGAATTCAAACTTAACAAAGGCTTTAATAGTTGAAAAGACCAACTGCACAGAAACCCATAGTACTATGTGGAGAAGATAGTAAAGAATGTGCTCATTCCTATGCTGTAGAGAAAAGTTCTCAAATCAGTTCTAACCTCACAACATAGGACACACTGGAGAGCTAACAGTAGACCACGACATAAGACTCCATCCTGCTATGCTGGGCCGAGGAGTAAAGCAATAACTAATGAAGTTACATTATCAGCAGAAAAAGAAAAAAAAAGTTCCAGTGTCAGCTTTGTTTTTATTTAAACAAACTCAAACTCTTGTTTTTAGTTCTGTACATAAATACTAATATCCTCACTGGTGTTTGAAGCCCAGGATAGCTCCGACCCAGACAAATCACCCTGGCCGGTTTCATCAGCTCTGACAGCTCGTCTCCGGCGTCTGGTCACTATTTACCAGCGCTGCAATCGTAAAGAGCTCTGCCGACCCGAAATCCTGGGACCAGGTAACCAAGGATACTGGGTCCAGGAGGAGGTGTTCAGGAGAACCTCAGAAATGGACCTCATCAACAAGGAAGCTCAGAAGAGGTAAAGGTCAAGGGCCAATAGGGCATGCTGGACTTTTACTGGGTACAGATAACAAAAAGTGAATCTGATAGCTGAGGGGAAAGTGCATGTATGCTCTCTGGTAGTTACATTGTCTCCAGAATTTATTAAATGCGATCTCAGCATTGACAGTGTTGGCGCAGTAACAGGAGTTTGATGTGGTCTGGGACACCCTCTGCTCACAATTCACAGACTTTAATGACTTTCCCAACTTGACATCTTCCCTAAGTCAGACCCCAGTCTGTGTTGATGTCATGTAAAAACACTATGCTGGCATTTATGAGACCACTTCAGAACCCTACTCCTCCTAGCAACAAAAGATATATTGTGCATTGACACTACCTTTATGGCTGTTTTTATCAAACTTTTGAAAGCAATAAATATCACAAGTGCAAGCCCAGAAGGAAGGTATAATATCAGTAATCACTTGCTCATCTAAGAATTAAGCTAACAAAGGGTACAGAAGGCCAGCACAAGCTGGGAATGCACATATCACAAAGTTGCAGTTCTTTGAGTCTTAATTTCACTCTGTCCTTCCAGTGAATTAAACAACATAGCAAATCCAATTAATTTTCTATATTCTTTCTGATGTTCTGAAATTTCCTAAGTCAGAACATTTATCCTGGCGTAGCTACAGAGAAAAGAACCACAGCCCTTCCCTTCCCTGCTTCTCACTCCCCTGCTGACTCCTCACCCACCTTCCATTCCTAGCTGCGATGAAGAGCACGACAGCCAGGAACCCCTCATACACACTGTTGGTGGCTCTCCTGCCCCCGATATGATCTTAATCCTATAGAATTTAAAGACTAGAGAACCTTTGTGTCCCGGAGAAAAATACTGACATGGGCAACTCATCTGTAGAAAACCAGTGGGAGATAGGGAGTCAGGACCTACGCACTGACATAGTGATTCTGTTCCCTTTTTGGATCCAGTTTCCTTGGTTATAAGACAGAGACTGAATTTAATGGGCTGGAAGGTCCTTCCAGGATTCTGTGTTGTCATACATATTTAAGTATATGTAATATTTAGAAACTCTTGATTTCCTACAAATGGAAATTAAGTAGGTAATTGATTGCCTAAGAGATAGCTAAGTCTGCACACATGAAATAGAGAAGTAAATAATGAGGAGGAAGCACTGAAGACTTGAAAGCGAGCTCCTTCCTTGGGAGTAGGGCTATAGCCTGTTTTTGTTATAAGCCTCTCAGATCAATTTAAGTAAAAATATACAGTAAGGTAGCAGAAGTTCCACCTGCTTTCTTGATTTCGTGAGTTCTTATAGTGTGTACTCAACTGTTAGCTTTCTTTAAAAAAAAAATACAGAGAGGGGAAAAAAACAGTTCCTCTCACTCTGATTGCATCTTAAGGTGGACCAGGAGAGAGCAAGCAGACTTCTATAGAGCAGTGTCTTCATTTGGCGTTGTTTATGACCAAGAGAAGAAAACCTTCGACTGGACCCAGTTCCGCATCATTTCCCGTCTGGACAAGAAGTCAGATGAGAGCCTGGAACACTATTTTTATAATTTTGTGGCCATGTGCCGAAACGTCTGTCGTCTGCCTGCGTGGAAAGATGGTGGTGAGGAAGTTGTTTGTCAGTATGTTAGGCGAGACAGGGAATGAAAATGCTGGTGTTCAAAGTGTAGCATTACTTAGCTGTGACTCTCACAATAAAGTCCATGTGAGAGGTTCCAGTAGAGGTATATAGGTTCTTAGAAATCCATGTGCTTTTAATTGCATTCACCCTCAATTAAAATGTTCTCTCTCCCCCAAGTGATGTAATTTAACTCTATTTAAAATCTTACAAGCCAGGCTTGATGGTGCACACCCATAATTCCAGCACTCCAGAGGCTGAGGCAGGAGGGTTGCTACAAATTTGAGGCCAGCCTGGATTACATAATGAGACCCTGTCTCAAAAAATAAGAGACTTTTCCTAAACTAAAAGTTTTTTTTTTAAGTCACACTGAAGTGTTCCCTTCTTTGAGCTTTGTACCTTGCTTATATTAGATTTTAATAACTTAAGTGTTTTACCGTGTATTCACTTACAGAAAGGTTTTATTTAAACATCTGATCAGATAGAGACCTCTTCTGTAATTTTGTCCTAGTTGGAATTTGGAACAGCTTTCTCTAGGCCCCCATTCAGCCTTATATTTGCAGCTACTATATATTAGATAATGTATATTGAAAGAAAGATCTAGACCGTCAGTGATACTGACAAGACCTAGATTCACATTTTGGTTCTGTCCCTTCTAACAGAGTAGCTCATGTAAACCTATTTGCCATCCTTAAAACAGGAATGGTGATGTGTCATAAGATTTCTGTGAGAACTAGATGACACATACAATAGAGTGTAGCTAGTGCAGAGAGAGGGAGTAGCATGTGCTTATTAGGTGGGAACTAATATTACACACAGAACTGATGTTTTCCTGTTCTGTCTTTATCCATTTCCCTTTTAGCTTCAAATTTTAACGGGGCCCACACGTAAAACTCTGTAAGGCCAGAGATGCAGGGGCTTAGTAGAGCAAGAAGTATTCAAAACCACTTGAAGTGATAGGCTCTGTATTTCCCGTTCTCTCCAGGTCCCCCAGATGCTACCATCTACGTTGAGCCCATCACTGAGGAACGGGCTGCAAGAACTCTTTACCGCATCGAGTTGTTACGGAAAGTCCGAGAGCAGGTACTCAGGTGTCCTCAACTGCATGAGCGCCTCCAACTCTGCAGGCCCAGCCTCTACCTTCCAGTCTGGTGGGAGTGTGGGAAACATGATCGAGACCTGCTCATCGGTACAGCTAAACACGGGCTGAACCGAACTGACTATTACATCATGAATGACCCCCAGCTATCCTTCCTGGATGCCTACAGAAACTATGCCCAGCATAAAAGAACTGACACTCAGGCACCAGGTGGTCTCTGTTGTCTCTACCAGACCAACTCCAAGTTATATGAATCTCTTGCCTATTCTCAAATGAGTAGGACTTCAGAGTCTCTTGAAAGTGAACCTGAGAATCTGGTGAAAATTGAAAGCAGAGATGATCATCTTGGTTTGCGTGGAGGCAGCTTCCCTGATGTGACTTGTGACAATTTTATTTCTAAAGTTCAGGATGTAATTTCTATCAACCACGATGAAAGTCTGCTGCCTGAGTCCTTGGAGAATATGATGTTTGGTAAGGTACTCAGCCAAGAGCCAGGCTCTTTTCAGGAGGGCCCAATTATCAATGCAGAATCCAGAAAAGATGCTGTTGGTATCTCAGCAAACAGAAGTGCAAGCTGCCGGCCCAGTGACCGTGAAGCAGAAATAGCTTCAGTTTCTCTTATGGATACCTTAGAAGCAGGAGTAGCTCAAATGAACATTAAAAGTGGAGAACCTGTGTTGACACCTATTTCAAAGGAAAGGGAGCACTGCTGCGACGAGGCAGGGCAGAGACCTGGAAGCATGGGGCAGCTAGAAGCCAAAAGCATACCTTCCACTGCCTTGGATGTGGGAAATGAAAGTGGGTTTGTAGATATGTGCAGTCTTAGTGTCTGTGACTCCAAAAGAAACCTCTCATCAGATCAGAAATTAATGGATTTATTAGAAAACAAAAGTTTAGAAAGTAAGTTGATTTTGAGTCAAAACCAGAGTGATGAGGAAGAGGATGAAAATGAGGGAGAAACTTTAACCGTGGCAGCAGGCACAAGAGAAAAGCCAGAGGTTTTACATCTCGCTAATCCCACTGCTAACATCCCAAGGGAAAAGAGTCACGGCTTCCATCTGGACGAAGCCAAGAAAGGAAGCCTGGAGGTGGTGAGCCAAACTGGACCGCCGAGGGCCTTTCCTCCAGCATTCTGCCAGTGCCACTGCAAACACATGGAAAGGTGGGCGCATGGCCTCGGGAGTGATGAATTTGAAGTGGAGAAACCCAAGGCTTATAAGCCAGACCTGTATAAAAGCAAAGCCAATAATACCACAGTGGAAGGTGAGCCCACTGCTATTCCATCAGAGCCATTTAAAGTAAAACCTGAGCTTTTGAAAGAACCCTGGAAAGAAAGTGCAGAAAGGAAAAAAGGTTTTTCCACATACGCTTCTGAAGGAAGTGAGCCCAAGTCAGAAGACATGGATTTCGAGAATAAAGATGATTATGAGAGAGATGGGACCTGCCATAGTCAAGGTACAGTATGTAGAATCTTACAGTATTTTGGATAAACCAGTCCTCCATGAAAGAGAAGGAAAGTGGGTAGAATGGTCACTAGCTTTATGATTTCTGAAAAAAGGACCTACCTACTTTCATATGTGTTCAAACCAAAAGTCATAAAAATTAGAATAGCTCAACTGTGATCATCCGAGAAAACCAAGGGTGATCATTGCCAGTCACAGCACTTCTGCTGCATCAGCCATGTGATCTAGGCAGGACTTGGATGCTTTTATGCAATAGATGCAGAAATCTGGCACTTAGGGGAAGTGATGTGTTCTTGCATTGGATCAGTTGCTCCAAACTGAGTAAAACAGCTTCAGGACATCAGAGACCTACAACTAATGTAGATGCCAGTAATTTGCAGGACCTCCGAAAATACAAATAAAATTGATGTTTGTTAACCACTTAACAATTTCAGCCAATCAATTCTTGTTTGCAGGAAATAGGCTCCTACATCTGTTTGTTTAACATGGACTATTTTTTGCATACTTTTTTTTATTTAGAACATTGTGTTTGCCTTTGATGTTTGTTTCAGGTGAAACTTAGTAAGTTCTGGTTATTTTCTTTTACTAATTTATGTTTGTGAAAAATAACCTATAATCTTGTGCTGAAATCTATAAAAATTCTTAACATAAGTATATTAGATATGATTTTTATACTTCTCCAGAACTCAGTAATACTCTTTTATAATATAAAACAGACATATTTGGGACAGTGAGACCGAATGGGAAGGAAATGTCAAAAGATCTGCAAAGAGGGGGCTGGGGATTTAGCTCAGCGGCATAAGCGCCTGCCATGCAAGCAGGCAGTCGTGAGTTCGATCCCTGGTACTGGTTTAAAAAAAAAAAAAGAAAAGAAAAAATATCTGCAAAAGAAAAAACTGAAAAATAGAGAAATGCTCTCATATCAGAGAGGAAAAGTCTGTGTTATGAAATAGAAAGACCAAAAAAAAAATGTCCTTATTGGCACCCATTCCTAATCCAGAAATGATGAAACTTGAAAGAAGAAATGAAACTTTAAAAATTCCAATAGTAATCAGTAATTATAATAATTCTGTCTGTGGTATTGACAGGGTTGACTTAAAATCTAACAAGGTATCCTGTAATCAAAAAGCCAGGGAAAATAAATATTATTATAAAATATTTATGCACCTTTTGAACCAAACAATATGGAATTCATTTGTTATTCAAAAGAAGAGGATTCAAAAGTCATTCACGGACTGGGGATTTAGCTCAGCGGCATAAGCGCCTGCCTTGCAAGCGTGCAGCCGTGAGTTCCATCCCCAGTACAAAAAAAAAGTTATTCACAATTTAGATTAGAAGTAAAAGATCAAATAATTGAAAAATATGGGATAGTGAAATACCAACCAGAGCATCCATCATCAACATCTTCACCATTAGATCTAGTGGATAGACATTTTATTAAAGTCATACCACCCACAGAAAGAAGGAAAGGCAAATACAACAGTGTAAAGTATGTTCACAGGATGATAATAATGCAAGAAGAATTAGGAAAGGTTAGATACTGCTTTCCAGATTGTAACGTGTTATGTGTTGAATATTTTCAGAATTAACATACATATAAAAATTACTGTATACATTTGATAAAATTGTCTTTTTCTTTTTTCCGGTACCAGGGATTGAACTTACTACCTCACGCTTTCCAGGCAGGTGCTTATACCCGCTGAGCTAAACCCCTGGCCCAAAATTGTCATTATAAAAATTGATGAAGAAATATGCAATTTTTTGGTCATCCTTATTTAAACCATTGGACTGATAAATGGTTAAGATGGGCAATTGAAAGTAGCATTTATTTGTTTAGATTCCTTTCATTAGCTCAACACAAATAAAAATAATAAAATTATAAGTAACTAAAAAGTAGATACCATCTTTTTAAATAGGGAAATCGTAGACAGGATTCAAATTAGAAGGAATTTCTAAATGTTAAAAAAAAATCTGGGTGGCCCTGAAATTCATTATGCTTTGTGTTAGTAGGAATCCTGAGGAGCAACAACATGTGAATTTTACTTGGCTTTATTTCTTCAAATTCAAGAGGACATATTAGAGTGAGAAAATTGCTTATTCTTGCCATTATTTTAAATAAAAACAACCAAATGACCCTGTTGATGTCTGGTGTTAATTGTGGTTCTCCAGGAGTAAAACTCACATAACCTCCCTTTCATGGGTCAGTGATTCACTATTACACAAGGAAAGAGAGAGTGGAACAAAACTAAGCTTCTTGAGTTGTCTGGCTTCTTTTTATTTTGGAATCCCCTCTTCTTTTGGTTTTGATCATTGATTAATGACTATCTTGGGAAGGAACAGTTATGAACCTAAATCAGAATTTACGTGTTAGATAGAATAAGGACTGAGAAATGAAACTAACAGTAGCTTAATGGAATTGTGGCCTCACCAACCTAGGAAGAGCCATCTTTAGCCATGCCCTATGCTGCTGCTGGCTTCCAAGGCTTCTGAGAAAGGAAGGTGGCAAGCCAGACTCCTGGACCACCAAGGGCCTTTCCTGCAGCAACCTCTGAGGAGCTCTACCATATGTTAAATTGTAAAACCCACATGCTTTTTGAATCCTGTTGTAGGAAAAAATCACCAAATAATCAGTCTTTGGAAACTCAGATAAGTAAATGAGCACAGTATAAATGTGATGAAAAAAAGAAAAACTTTCTCCTTCCTTTGGTGTTAGGCCAGCCTTACCTGACTCAAAGCAGGCTACCAGTCATGGACCTGGTAATCCTTGTGATAACTGAGTAAGCATTGAGTACTAGCACTGGTAATGCTTCTAAAAGTACTTTTGCAGTGGTTGGCCAGGATTCTTCACACAGTGAAAATATAGGACAGGTGGTGCCGGGAGGTTATCTCTCTTTGGAGATGAGAAATCTGCCATCCTGACAGATTAACTCATTGATGTGCCTATCAGGGCCAGCTTCCAGTTTGCCCAGCTCCTCTGCTTAAAACCTCTCAGTAGTGCTTCCATTGAGTCCAGAGTACAAACCAGATTTTCTGTTAAGGCCTGCACAACTGAGGATGAGCCATATGATTGCCCCTGCACACGCACGTACACATAGACACATGCATGTAGCCTCATCTTTATTTCTCCTGGCCACCTTTTGACTCCTCAGCATGTGCAGAATCCCCTTCCTGGATGTTCACTCTACCAGCCTACTTAAGTAGAGTCTTCCTTCTTACTCCCCTTCTTATTCCTGCTCTTAGTCTCTTGCTTTCCCCTATGAGACTACGAGAACCTGAGGGTCCAGGCCATGGCTCTTGTGTATCTGCAAGTCTACCATGCCTAGCAAGTCCTGTGCACAGTAAGGGCTCTCTGCGGCTCCCCAGGAGACTCTGCACAGTCAGAGGTGAAATCTCCACATGTCTGAAGATAGACATTCTCTGTCGTTTCACCGAGAAAAAAGGCCCATAGCATTTCTGTCTTAGGCATTTTGTTGCCATCTGTTTCATGTTGGTGAAACTTTTGCCATAATTTAAACTTGAAAGAGTGAATTGCGTATCCATTTTCTTCTGTCAGGGAAATAACTGAAATGTTCCAGGGTTTCGTTTGTTTGTTTGTTTTTGTTTTTTGTTTTGTGGTTTTGTTTTTTTGCATCTTGGGGAGACAGGGCTTGCTACATTGTCCAGGTTGGCCTTAAACTCAGTGTAGCCCAGGCTAGCCTTGAACTCATGTGGATCCTCCTGCCTTGGCCTCCTAGTGTCTTTGCATCATTTTTTACATGAATCAGATTTATTTTACATTTGCTTTAAGTTCTATGGATTTCGATTCTCCTCATTAATACATTCCTTGGGGCCAGGGATTTAGCTCAGTGGTGTAAGTGCCTGCCTGGTAAGCATGAAATCATGAGTTCAATCCCTGGTACCGCAAAAAAAGATTAATATCATTCTCTTGATATGTTACATTTCATACTTCATATACTGTCCCTTCAAATGTATCAAAATATCAAAGTAATATTCTACTTCTTGTCTACTATATCAAAGAGAAACATGGCCACTCACCTCTTCCTACTCTTGGATACACAGAAATTTCCCTTCTCTGTTCTTTTGTTGTTGGGGTATGGCCGAAAACTCTTAATAGATGACTTGCATTGTTAACCATAGACCAGAATTTGCCTTTATGGTCTTGCTAATTTAGTTCTTCTACCTGAAAATAGAAGATACAGAAATCAATATTCAGTTTAAGACAACAGAGAGTGATCTAATTTTCAGGAAAAGCAAATCAGATGTCCTAATCTCTCAGATCACTAATAATTCCCAAATGCTTAGTTAGTTTTTTACCTTTTTCCCAGACTACCCAGGGAAATATTCTGAAGAGGAGAGCAAGAGCTCAGCATCAGGTATTGCCGGAGACCTTGGGGATGACCTACAAGAGGCTCGCGCTCCCACCATTGCTCAGCTGCTACAGGAGAAAACCCTCTATTCCTTCTCAGAGTGGCCAAAGGTATCTCGCAGAACTTGCACTGTCCACCTCAAGCATCTTTAGCTCCAATTATTTCAAGCCTTATAAAGTGTTTCTATGAAAGAAACTGAGGAACCATCAATAGTTTTAAAGGGTATTAGTTATATAACATTTAGCAATGACAATATATGCACTTGACTAATTAAAACATAAGGTGAATGTGTCAGATTGTCCTCATATTTATAGCATTGTTAGTTTAATCTTCATTGTCCAGATTAGAAATTTATTTTTAAGGCTTTAAAGTGGTATATTTGGGCTAAGGATATAGCTCAGTGGCCTAAGTGCCTGCATTTAATTCTTTTTTCACTCCCTCTCCCTTTTCCTCCTGCTCCTTCGATCTCTCGGTTCTCTCCCCATTTAAGCACTCTTTTGTAATCACCTCCTTCTGGTCAGAAAACTTATCCCTCAAGGAGATTTGTTAATTTGGGTAACTCAGGGTTTATTTCCTTTTTCCCAGGATCGCGTGATAATTAACCGCCTAGATAGCATCTGCCACGTGGTGTTAAAGGGGAAGTGGCCTTCTAGCCAACAGTATGAACCCTCAGGCACACTGTCCACTGCAGTCTTAGCCAACAGTGCTGGTTCTCGGAACAGTCTCTCAGAGCCAGAAGCGGCAGAACACAGCTTCAGCAATGGTGCGACGTTGGCAGCTCAGGTGCAGAAGGTAAGGCCACAAGGATGGTGCGGACCACAGAGCAACAAACTGTGACCACGTTTCGTTTTCATAGTTGAGTTGGTCACTCAATAGGTACCTACTGAATGGACAGTGGGCTTTTGGGGGTCTTGGCTTTTGTATTTTGTTTTTGGCAAGCCATTACTGTTAATTGAAGAATTTGGACCTTATCCTGTAGGCTAGGGAGAGCTATTAAAAAGTTGAAGACCAGAGCACAAAGTAGAAAAGCAGGGTTTTGCAGCTCAGCTGAAGTCCGTGGGTTGGCAGAAGAAATGATGAGAGGAGAGAGGAATGCCTCAGCTGGAAGTCAACTGGGGAGCTGATGCAGAGAAAGAGCGCTAAACTAAGGCAGAGGCAGAGTGATGAATACAAAGAAAGGGATATACTTGATGACTAGTAAATATGTAAGGAGAGGAGAAATGGTGGATGTCTTCAACCCTTGAATTACTGAGAACAATAGCAGAAAGTAATTAATAGTAGAAATTTGAAAATCAAGGCAAGATTGAGTATTTCTGTTTGAACGTGATGAGTTTTTTTGAAGTTAATTATTAGTATACTGGTTGTCACTGTTTATTGCTATCAAAATCAGCAGGGACCTTGAAAAGCAACTGATTCTAATCTAATTAATCTGGGGTATGGCCTGGGTATTGGGATTTTTTTAAGAAAACTTCCCAAATGATTGTTACTTACAGTTGAGGCTGAGAATCTTGAGTTATAGTCTCGCAACTACAAGTATAGTATATGACTAGCAACTTCATCAGCATCTGGGAACCTGTTACAAATGCAGACTCTGGCTCTACAAGCCCACCAAAGTAGAATCTGCATTTTAACAAGCCATTCAGATGATGTGGTACTCACATTTAAGGAGGCATGAGTTCATAGAACTTTTAAGAAGATGAGTGGGGAAATCAACCTGGAGAAAAAGCTACTTCAGCCACAAAAGTGGCATTCAAACTTCTTTTGCCATATGTGTGTTCACAGGAGAGCTTCTTAGCCCCAGTATTCACAAAAGATGAACAAAAGCACAGACGTCCCTATGAGTTTGAGGTGGAGAGGGATGCCAAGGCTCGGAGCCTAGAACAGTTCTCTGCCACCCACGGGCACCCCCCCATCGTCCTCAATGGCTGGCATGGGGAATCAGCTATAGACCTCTCCTGCTCATCAGAGGGGTCCCCAGGAGCCACATCCCCTTTCCCAGTGAGTGCCAACACCCCTAAGATTGGGGCTATCGGTTCACTTCAAGGAGCCCTTGGCATGGACTTGTCTGGGATTCTGCAAGCTGGTCTGATCCACCCAGTGACTGGACAGATTGTCAACGGAAGCCTCAGAAGAGATGATGCTGCGATGAGGAGGCGGAGGGGAAGACGAAAACATGTTGAAGGAGGGATGGACCTCATCTTTTTGAAGGAGCAAACACTTCAGGCAGGAATCTTGGTAAGTATTCAAAACCACTAAGTGTAAACATTGACCTTTCTACATAGAGAAATAAACCATTCTTCCTCAGACACTTATGTATTTTGTTTTGTGGCTCTTTCACCCCTATTTCACTTGACCTATGTATTTTCTCTTTATGAGATGCCTGCCCTCTATCTTTTCTACAAATAGGTAGACACCATTATTGGCCCTTAATCTGCATGGATTAACAGGGAGAAATGAACCATGAGGTCTTGTCCTTCAGGTAGAAGCAACCCAAAGCCTTCAGTGTCTCAGAAGGGCCACTGGTGATTGAACAAGCGTAGCAAGAGGACAGAGCTGAGTTTCTGGTTCTCCGGCGTAGTTAGGGTCTCTAGAAGTCAATGTGTAAAAGGAGTAGGAGTCAGAACCATCTGATTATAGATCCCCAGCTGTTCTATCTGATATTGAGTGACAGCAGACAAGCCACTAGACCTCAGATTGCTCTTTGAGGGGAGCAACAGCTACTGCAGAGGGTTGCTGTGAAGACTCCCGGAGACCACACTGAGACAGTACACTGTAAACTCAGACGTGAGATATGGTGGCACATGCCTATAATCCCAGCAGTCTGACAGGCTGATGCAAGAGACCAAATGAAAAATAAAATAGGACTAGCTATGTATCTGGGTGCATAGGCCCTGGGTTCACTCCCCAGTAACCACATACATATATACATACATACATACATACATACATACATACATACATACATACATATCAGGGGATCTTTGTGAACAATTGAGGAGGCTAGAAACTGTGCCTGACGAAAAGAAATCCCCTTCATAAAGTGGTTAATGCTTAATGTGTGTTTCCCCATTTATCGGATTTTGAGCCACATGATATATATAGGAATTATATATCATGTTTTAAAAGGAATAATAATGACCATTATTCATTGGATAACTATTGTGTGGCAGGCATTGTGTTTAGGATTTTTATTATTGCCCTATTTGATCTTGACAACAACCTGGTGAAGCTAGGTGTTTCACAGATGGGCAAAATGAAGCTTAAAAGCCTTGAATAACTGGCTCAAAATTTTCCAGCTGCTAAGTGATCAAACAGGAAACGCAACCAAGGACCTTGTTGTCTAGATCCTAAGCAGTAGAAGACCTTATACTATTTGGTCTACTCAGACTTTCTATATAATTTAGAAGGTTTAAATGTCAGATGCTTTCCCTTGCTAGTCCTTTAAGCTGATTTTTAAAAGTTACATTTAAGAAAAAAAAAACATGATTTCTTTGTTATACTCATAGAATTACAATGGAATGACAGGTTAAAATTTGTTTCCTTGGTTTCAGTGGTTTTTTTTTTTAACACATTTCTGCCAGCTTGAACCACCAGTGGTTCAGAACTGCCCAGCAGTAAGACATACAAATTATGGTCCCATCCTAAATGGGTTAAATTTATGAATGCGGACACTGTTTTAGCATTGGCATTGTATTTTGTAAGTAGACCCCACCATAAGCATTCGTAATTCAGAGATGAGTGAGACAAGTATTTCAAACAAGAGGGAAAATGAATGGCCAAATCATAGTGTAGCATCTGCTGTTACATGAGAGTCATGCTCAGGATGCTGTGGAGACAAGACCTGGAGTAGCTACTGTTGCCTGGGACAGTCAGTGATGATGACAGGAGTAAACTAAATTGGAGCAATCAGGATGGAATTAGTGTGGCGCACAGATGAGGAGGAAAGGGGCTCCAGTGGAAGGAGCACCCAACATGTGCACAAGCAGCGGTTGATTGGGATTTGTATAGATCTAATTCTGTGACTCCTCCGGCCACGTCAGAGTAGAAACAGGTGGGATGCAAGCGAAGTGGTGTGCACCTATAATCCCGGTACTCGGGAGGGTAAGGCAGGAAGATTCCCTTGAGTTCAAGGCCAGCCTGGACTGCATAGCACAACCCTGTGTATAAGAAAGAAAATAAATAAAAAGGTGGAAAAGTGGAAAGAATACCTTATGTATTTAACTTTTAGGAACTAGTTTTCCTTCAGTTTTAATTAATGACACATTGTCATTAGAGTCTCATTTTTTGTTTGTCTAGGAAGTCCATGAAGACCCAGGACAGGCCACTTTGAGCACTACACACCCTGAAGGCCCAGGACCTGCTACCTCGGCCCCTGAGCCAACAGCAGCAGCCAACGGCCAGGCCGAGAAAGCCATTCCAAGCAAGAGCCTGCTTGACTGGCTACGGCAGCAGGCTGATTACTCCTTAGATGTTCCTGGCTTTGGGGCAGTAAGTGTTTGTTGGTGCTGCCTAAGACGGCTGTTAAATTCTACCTAACTTGGGGCCAGTTTTGATCTGTGCATACTGAGGGAAACAAGGTAGAAACTATTTGGCAGAAATATGTATTGAGAACATCATTTTAAAGTTGATTTTGTTTTGTATTGTTTTTTAAAGCTTACATTTTTGTTAAATCCTCCAATAACAGAAGTTATAGCCTACATCAGAATACTGTGCCAAGAAGTATACATGCACAATTTTAAGAGAATAGAACATGCCAAATTATAACCTGTTTGCTCCCAAAATGACCATACAATGCCGTAAGGTCACAGAGAAGTCTTTACGTTGTGTAAACTGTACCACTTGATGAACATGTTCCAAGTTAATTAGTATGTGACTACAGGGAATGGGAGGTTCTATTCTTAGTTATAGTTACTGTTTTAAGGACTTTGCCTTCAAGTCGTCTTGCTGCCTTTGCTCTAAGACTTTCCAATTAGGAATCTTCTGGAGGCTCTTGCACTGATATTTTTTCCTTGAATTTTCTTTTCTCACTTGCTCATCTACCTTATCACCATCTTTACCGAGAGTACATGTGACTAGTAATATGCATAGTAGAGAATACACACAAAATAAGAGAATGAATTCACAGGTGCGTAACTCTTTAATGACATACAAAACCAGCTGGGTGGGTAGCAGTGGAGAAGATATTCAAGGACCAGGCTGATGATTCAGCAGTGCTCTGGAAAGCTGCTGAGTAAGTTGGGTGCCCTAATCTTAAGGGTACAGGGCTCACACAGCCTGTTTTCCAGCTTGCAACAAAAATGCTGGTGCTCCAAAAAGAGAAAGCCTGGGTGAGGGCTGGCAGTAGGACCCTGTGTAAAGGGCTATCAATGAGAAAACAGCAAAACCAGCTAAAAATTAGCCCTCTTCTCAGAAGACTCTGTGATAGAATGTTTTGTAATACGGTCTCCATTTGCCTCCTAGAATTTTTCAGACAAACCAAAGCTGAGGAGGCCACGCTGTAATGAACCTGGAAAATTAGACATCAGCTCTCTGAGTGGAGAAGAGAGGGTTCCTGCTGTCCCCAAGGAACCAGGACTGAGGGTAGGAAGAGGTCATGGGTGTGGGGACAAGGGCAGCATGCTTCCGAGGTACATTTGCATACAAAGAAAGCCCTAGCTGAGGAGTGGGTGACATTTTGCAGAGGACAAGAAGCCAGCACAGGAAGTTGGAAGCAGTGCTAAGTGGTGTCCAGGGCATTTTTGAGCAGCAGTGTGACTTCTGTGACCATCTGTTTTCCACCTCTACCTCCTAAACAATTAAACCATTCCCAATGCCAGGGTTTTTTCTATTTTTAGAATTATAAGGCAAAAGAAAGTTTAACCCTGGCCAGCAATGTGTTTCCAGTATTTAACAAATTATTACTGGAAATTTTTATTTCTCCTCCAAGTGTTTTTGACTACCATTTCAGATGTTTCTTCCTCGTGTATCCTCGCTAGCAATGAAAAACAGCTGACTGAAGCACTACCCTTTTCTTATTATAGAATCATGTGACTGGAAGGGACTTCAAAGACATCTGCAGAATACTTGGAGTATAACGAATCTAAGTTAATTATAGTTTACAGATGAGTATGAATTCGGACTAAAATAACCATCACCTCTAGAGGGCAGCAATAACATTTTATTTGAAAATCCATTGAGCATGGGTAAATTGCACATCAGTGTGCTTTTAACCTCCTCATAGTGTATCTTGCCCCAATAGGAGCCTCTGAAAATCCCAGTGGGAACATTCGCTCTCCCCAGGCTCCTCCATAAACTCTTGCTCCCGAACACTGTCTTCAGTGCTGTACCAGCTGCAGCTTCCCTGACTACAAGTTCTTCCTTAGAAGAACTGCCCAACTATGACTTCCCACATTACTGTAAAAGACCACCCACCCGAGTCATTTCCTCTGTCTGAGGAAGAGTTATTTAATGTTCCTGAAGAATTTCTCCCTTGCTTTTTCAGTCTCCCAGCAGCCCCATAACAACTACCCTTCTCATCAGTGTGCATGACCACAGTCAGAGGGAAGCCGAGGCCCAGTCCCCAGGCTTGTCACCTTGGAATAGCTGTCCTTCGTTCTTTCTTACTTTAGTATCAGAAAATACCTTTACCAACCCTTTTTTGAACCTATTTGTAGTGTATGTGTCTTCAGCTTTCCCCTTGTGTTTTAGTACATGGCAAGCGTCTCCACAAAGTCATCTGGTAAAGACCTCCAGCTCTTTACCTCATTGTAGCCCTGAGCTGTCAATTTACAGACATGTCAGGCAGCTGTGTGGTGCCCCTTTCTCACTTTTCTCTCCTTGACAAACAATTTCCCTCACTTTCCGTAGAAGTTAGTGTTCATCTCAACTCTGCAGGTACCAACCTTTTCCAGAAGACCCATTTCTAAGTTGTTCTTGCAAGCCTGTTTCCTCTCAGATGCATTCTCCTCCTTTGTTAGTAAACACATTCCCTACTCCCGAGGGCCTTTTCTGGAGGAAGGTAAGAAGGAGAAGCACTTGTCCGCAAAGCCCTTGTGGCCACTCTTTATCAGCAGGGACAGGGCCACCCCCTCCATTTGGCTCTAGGTGGGCTTCATGTGTCTCACAGCTCTTTCGGGGACATAAGCCCTCCAGAGTTTTCTTACAGAAACTCTTCATTAAATCGGCATACTGTAACAAATGACTTTTAAATAGCAGAAATGTATTTCTTGTAGTTCTGAAAGTTGAGAAATCCAAGATTAAGATTTGGCCTCTGTTGAGGCGTGAGCCTCACAGGCAGCTGTCTTCTTACTGTGTCCTCACGTAAAGGACAGACAGACTCTCCAAGGTCTTTTATAAGGTCAGTAATTTCATCCGTGAGGGTAGAGCCCTATGGTCTAATCACTCGCAAAGCTCTCATCTCTATGCCTTTCATGGGTAGGATTTCATCATGAATTTGGGGGACACAAATCTTTATAGTCCATAGAAGAAAGCCTACCCTTTCTAGAAGTACATTAAAATCTCACAAGGAGCTCCCTTCCTCCTGTCTTGAGGTCACATAGCCCTCCTGCTATGTGTGCTTTAGTTTGGATGGAGGTGCTCCACAGATTTGGCATTACACAAGCTACACAGAAGGCACTGAGCCTCAGTCTTGTTTGTAATAGCTGCTACATAGCAGTTGCTCATTAACTGTATGTATGCACACATATTTAATATGGTTGTATATGTAAGTTATGGTTATATGTTGTTGTAATATAATTTTTGTTTTTTGCTAAGCCACATGACAGTAAATTATAAATCAGATACATCACTCCTGAATACTTCAGCATGCATCCCCTAAGAACATTTTCCTATATAATTGTTTCTATTCCTGTGCATGTGATTTTTAGTAAGTCTGATGTCTAATCCATATTCAGATTTCACCAATTGTTCAAAAAGTGTCTTTGAGCTGGCTTCTGTTCTGGTTTGGTTTGGGAAATTTTAACTGAGGAGGTGCACATTGCATTTGGTTTCTGGGTGTTTTCACCAGGTGGGTATTTGTTGGATGACTCTATTAAGCTTCCTGAGGGAGTAAGGAAGCTTTGACTGCCAGCTTTCTCTCACCTCCACCAAGAGTTTTAGGGTTAAGTAAACACGGTTGGGTATTGGGTATAGGATTCCTAGATAGGAGTATGCCCAAGCAGTCATCTAAAAAAGCAGCTTTGCCTCTGGGTGTTGCTTGAATGTAAGGGCTCTCCTTTTCCTTGCTCTGTCTGCCTCCCCTAGAAAAGGAAGCAGGTTTGCTCCCAGGGTGTAATTACCAAGAGGGAGTGCTGCCAAAGCCCAATGTGGACGCTGTGTGTGGTCACTGAGCTGCTTGGGAGGGGCACCTATCTGGGGTGGGCAGCAGCTGGGTGGCTGGAGCAACTCGCCCTCCACAGGAAGTGGTAAATGCTGACTTCCTGTGTTAGCACTTCTCTTACTATGGTGTGGATGAAGAGCTCCCCTCCACCCCCAGCCTTTTTGCTGTTGCTCTCTAGACCTAAGGACAAAAGACCAGTCCGTGCCTTTTTTTAAAGCTCTCATTTCTGAGAGGTCCCCACATTCTCTTTGTAACTGTGGTTACATCAAAGGTAGACGATGGGTGTTTGAGGACATCTTGATGCCTGAGGAGTATTCTGTGTACTAAGCAGGCAGGGCCAGCAAGGCCAATAGTCATGTGAGACACAGTCTGGTCTTAAGTGAGTTATCTAGTCTTAGATACCACAGATTGTCCAGAGCCAGGACATGCACTTGACCACTTGGCTTGGATGAGAAACTCAGTTTATGACAGACTCAAAAATAAGATGGAGGTATTATTCATCAAAGTTCTGGGCTTAATTTCTTCCTAACAGAAAGACTTCTGATATCAAACATGCATCCCCCAGAGTTATAAAGGAACATATGTGTATAAAACAAGACATTACCCTGTACCTTCCCCTGGCTGTTGATTGTGGGTGGCAGAGGACCTTAGTGAAGCCTTGCAGGCAAGTGGCGGGGGGTGCTTACCTGGGCAGGGCCCTATGCCACGGCCGTGAGCCAGAAAGGGCCTAAAATTGCACAGGGGAAACAGAATGGCTGACTTGGACTGCGGTGGTTTGCACTGATGAATTCAAGGCAGACTGGTAAAAAATCATCTTCTTAGTTTGGTCCTGTCTGTTAGATCTTACTTTTTCTCTTTAGGAACAAGAATTAGCCAGGACATGCACTTGACCAGCACTCTCCAGAACAAACCAGTTTTGCACCTAGCAAGTAGCTGGTCATACTGGGGAAAGAAGAAGAATACAGCATAGAAAGTGTCCTGGGCTGTTGCCTGCTCTGTCCTTATCCAGAGGAATCTTTGTCTCTGTTAGTGAAAGGGAAGGGAAACAAAACATGGCTGCTAGAGAGTTTCCTTCCAGCTCTGTGATAGTAAACCAAGGCTTTTTAAGAAGAATTTTCTGATCTAAGTTACCATGATAAAGCTTTTTGTCCATAATGGGCTAGTTTTTATGAATATTTTCTGGGTAGTTGAAGGACAAATGAAAAATAACTGTCTGAAGACTCAGAAATATTCAGATGCACATACTTGCACACATCTGTGAATCTGAGTTCTCGGTGAAGTAATGACTTAGGGTTGTTGTGATGATTAGTTGAGATGATGCAATTGAGCCTTTGGATTGGTGCCTGGCACCTGGTAGGTACTTCTTTAGCAGCAGCTGACTTTCCTGCTCCCCTTCTGATAACCACCACCCCTTCCTGAGCGCTTCTCTCTGCCAGTTTCCCTGCTGCTGACCGCTCCCTGCCAGGGAAATTGACACAGCCCAGCAGCTTCTCCCCGTAGAGCCCCCACACATGTCCACAGAGCTCCCTGAGAGCCGGAAACCAGTGTTGCCAACTGCTTTTCTGACTGCCCCTTAAGCAAAACTTTGTTGAATTTTCTACAGATTTTACTCCTTTATTCATTTTGGGAGACAAGAGTGAAACAAATGGGAAATACCGGAGACATGAATCAGTTTATAAGCCAGTCCCTGGGAAAATACTAAGTAGATTTCTAGCTCAGGCCAGACCTAGTCTCAGCCCTTAGCTTTCCTAACATCTCTCTCCACATTCTCTAGGACTCCAGGACCTAGTAATAGGTTTTTTGTTTTGTTTTGTGGTCCTCCTGGTATCTCTTGCCTCCTCTATTGCCCAAAGCGTCTGCTCCATTGAGGAGGGCAGCTAGGTCCCTGCCATGGGCTAGTGGAGCCTCAGTTGCTTCTTGCCAGATCCCTACTCCCCACTCACTCCAGACTGGCAGAGAAGGAGGGTGTTTGCACAAAAGAGAGTCCTGAAAAGGCACCAGGAGTACCTCAGAGAGACACATGGAGCTGGAGGCTGAGTGAGCCCTCCCACCACTTTGCTAGCTCCACATTTCAGCCTGACAGCTAAGACAACTTCTCAGTATGAGCCCAGTGTCTTCAGACACATCAAGACCACTCTGAACATCCTAGCTTCATCATTGCTCAAATCATGGAAAGGTGGTAAGGTAACACCAGCTTTATAGCTTGGCAATAGGAAGGGGACACCTGTGCAAGAAGGGTCACTGCACTTCTTCCCAGTGTGGCTGGGAAAGGGCTGCTTACCTCCCAGGCACCAGGAGGGAAGGGTTCTTTCTTCATCTTCCTCTTCTGCATAAGAAGACTGCCTGCTCAACAGCGTGAATGTGAGTCCCCTTGTATATAGGTGGAGGGTAGCTGCTGGTAACTGAGCCCAGAGCCTTCATACTGAGCTATATCCCTGGCCCCTTCTATTTTTTATCTTGAGACAGAATCTCACTAAGTTGCCCAAGCTAGGCTCAAACTTGGGATCTTCCTGTCTCAGCCTCTTTAGGCAGGTGCCATGGCACCCAGTTTTAAGTCACATTTTTTAATCATGTGGACATGTGTTACATGATAAATTAAGAGCCGTGAGAGATGGACAGCAATAGAGAAAGGGGTGTGCATAGTTCTCCAGAAAGGAGCACAGGGACTGTGGGCAACAAGTGCAAAAAATGGGTCCCTTTCAGTGGGGAAAACATTTTTCTCTTTAAATGGAGGTTATTCACATCATCTGTGAAACAATTTCAGGAATTAATCTATCGTAATTGCAATGGTTGGTTTAATTACCTCTCTGCTCCAGCCCGGTTTTCCAGGTGGCCAGCTCCCGGCTGCATCCTTACTGCCCCTAAGATCCTGAGCCACCTTCTCAAAGGAAGGAAGGTCAGGGCCACAGCCTGGAATTCCCTTGCCACCATGCTGCTGCCTGCTCACTGCCACCGTTAAGGCGCTGTGATCTCTCTGGTTCCATGTGGCATAATCCTCCTGCTGTGTGATGTGGAAAGGTCCAAATATGTAATACTAGAAACACTGTGAGCCCTGTGAGCAGAAGTGCTAACTCTGAAGCTTTTTACTAATGAATAAAGAGAAGAAAAATAATGGGGAGTCCCAAGCAAGCTTCCTAGGAGTCAGGTGATGTGTTAGATACTTCACTTTCAGTGACTTTAAGATAGGTGTTGTTACCATTTTTCTCCAAAACTAACAGGCTAACTGACTCTCCTGAGCTCCACAGCAAGAGTGCTGCGGAGCCAGGATTTAAAAACTAGGGTCTGCCTGGCTCGAAAACCCTGTCTTACATTCTGTGCTTTGTTGCTTCGATGCGAACCGTACTGTGTCATGAGAACGTGAATGTTGCCTCCTGGTGAAGGGTTCACAGCCTTGAATCTCAGCAAGACCCAGTACATCTTCAATGCTGGTCTCCAACTCCTGGCTCTCTGCTAGCTTCTCACACAGTGGACCCTGCTCTGCCAGTGAGAGTGTTGGAAGCACTGCTGGGCGGTGACGGGCACCCTGGTTGTTCCCAAGCCACCAAATGTTCTTGGCCTGCGTGAGCCCTTCATGGAGCTGGGGACAGTGCAGAACCCCAGTCATCACCCTAAGCTGACCCCTGCAATCCAGTAACCTTCAGCATCTTATGTTTCTTTGTCCTTTTCAGGGATTTCTCCCAGAAAACAAGTTCAATCACACCCTGGCTGAGCCTGTACTTCGGGATGCAGGCCCCCGCAGGAGGGGGAGGCGGCCTCGGAGTGAACTCCTGAAAGCTCCAGCCATTGTAGCAGACTCTCCCTCTGGAATGGGGCCTCTATTCATGAATGGGTTGATTGCAGGAATGGACCTGGTGGGACTGCAGAACGTGAGAAATATGCCAGGTATCCCTCTCACCGGGCTGGTGGGCTTCCCAGCTGGCTTTGCAACCATGCCTACTGGCGAAGAGGTGAAAAGCACCCTGAGCATGCTGCCCATGATGCTGCCAGGCATGGCCACAGTGCCCCAGATGTTCGGTGTTGGAGGCCTCCTCAATGCTCCCATGGCAGCCACCTGCACGTCCACTGCTCCAGCGTCTCTGTCAAGCACAACAAAAGGTGGTATAGCAGCCGCTGAAAAGACTACAGAGGACAAACCCAGCAGCCCTGATGAAAAAGCAGACACATTAGCTGAAGACAAGCCTGGTCCTAGTCCATTTTCTGATCAATCTGAACCTGCAATAACTACTAGTAGCCCTGTGGCTTTTAACCCATTTCTCATCCCAGGAGTGTCTCCTGGACTCATTTACCCATCCATGTTTCTCTCCCCCGGTATGGGCATGGCTCTGCCAGCCATGCAGCAGGCCAGACACTCTGAGATAGCTGGTCTGGAGAGCCAGAAGAGGAAGAAGAAGAAAACAAAGGGGGACAACCCAAACCCCAACCCAGAGCCTGCTCCTGGGCACGAAAGGGAGCCAGGCACTGATCAGAACTGCACCGAATCGAGTACCCCTTTACCCCCAGAGAGAGAACATGTGGCACAGTCTGGAGAAGGGGGACTCAAGGACGCCAACAGTGACACCAATTAGAACTTTTTCATTTAAGAAATTATTGTGACTTGTAAGTTTCTTATCCCATAAAGGTTTGTTACTTCCCTCACTTCACCTTCATAAGAACCTGTGTTTCCATAAGTAATATGACCTACCTAATTTTCTGTCTGAGAACTATGGTAACAGATGTTAATAGTTGCAGGGTCTTGCCACTTCGTTAGATAAATGTTGTCTACCTAGTCTAGGAGGCACAGAATTCTCATTCAGTTACCCAGTCGTTCATTCCAGCAATCGTAGTTAATACAGTACTTGGTGACACATCCTACCCCCTTCTCTTCCAAGTTTCCCACTTACTGAGGAAAAGGAAAAGGAAGCTGTCCAGGGATTTACCATTGAAGGGTTGAAGAACAGACACAAAGACAAGTTATTTTTCTCGTGAGCTAAGTTAAATAGGGAAAAATGTAGCAAGAAAACCAAAAAGCACAGAAAAAGGAAGTGTTGGTGTGTTTTTCAGTTAAAATACATCCCTATTTTATTCTGATTTCTGAGTAGTGTAGTCCAAAGTACATAACTAATGGTTGAAAATGCATATATTGATTTCTTTATTTAAAAAAAGAAACCACAAAACTTTCCTGGAAGTAATATAATTTCTCCCTTCATGGTTTTTTAGATACTTTTAGCAAGAAGAAATACTAGCTGACTAGGCATTATTTTATGTATATGTATCAATCCTCCCCCAGGTTAAAAGGTGACTCTAAATTGAAGAAAGTGTCACACACTTTGAGTTACCACCAGCAACCAGGGTGGGACAAGGGCTCACTCACTGTACTGCAGAGTTGCACGCTGCTTCGCAAGCGCACCCCTGGAACTCTGCTCCCTTCTCCCCGAAACTTCTCTGGTCACTAATTTGCCTCATTGTGTTCAGAGAATCTTACTGGGTTTTTATATGTTCTTTCCTTCTTTAAGAATAAGGCTTTCAGAGCCTGGGAGAAGATAGTTCTCCACACTTGCTAGGGTCTGTCTTCACAGTTATCTGAGGTTGTCAAAATGCACGAACCTTCTTTTACACTACAGCTGTGAAAAGGTTTTTTCCCCTCTCTCCGTTATTGCTTCACTCTTTGTATCTTACAGTTGGGCCCAAATTCCAAATCATCACTTAGCCGAGACTATTGCAGGTCAGCAGTACTCTCCGCCGTTCCTCTGCTTGCCCGCGTTTAGGAGCTGAGTGGGGAAGAAGCCCTCTGAGAGACTTGCCACTTGCTTTCACCTTCGCTCATGTGTTTCACACCCTTCCTGATGCTCTTCTCCTTCGTGGACAGTTCGTGCTCGGAGACTTGAAAAGAGATCCCAGATCAGCTCTGGGGGCAGAGGGCTTGCAGGGCTATTGGAAGTGTTGCAAGTGTTACTAGTACCAGTTTCACTTTGTGTTGTCACAATTTACTGTATTTTTTACTGTTTCTGTTACAGTTTTGCTAATTTATCAGAAGGTCCAAAAGTTTGACATAACTATTTCAGTTTGCATTATTTATTTATGATGCTTTTGTCATTGTCTTTTATACATTTGGAATTATAAATTATGTAAATGTTAAAATGAGCATCTCAAAGAAGTCTGTTAAGTTGTGACCGAAGAAAATCAATCAGATGTATTTTCAAAAAGCAGAGTCCCAGTTTTATGAATCAGAGCTATAAACCTAGAAATGCTATAACTGATCCTATGAGAAGAATCTGATAATTGAATAAATTCTATTTAATAACATTCTTGTAGTGTAGGTGGTCTACAATGCTGACAACAGATTTCTTAGAAATGCTGCTCTCTCTATTTAACTAACATTTTGTTCATTTTGCCTCCAGTGGAAGCAGAAAGGGTTTTTTCAGCTGTTAAATCCTAAAAATCAATATAATTTATTTATGTAAAAGAAAAAATCACTCAATCGATATATTTTTGAACCTTTTAAGTACTAATTTTCTTTTTATCAAGTAGAAAAAAATGTATTTGCCCTAAATCCTTAAAATACAAATGCTATAAAAATTCCTGTATCTTGAAAGCCTTACTGCAAATGAGTATTATAGACATCCAGCAAGGTCTGGTTTTCTTTGTCGTCCGCGTGTTGTTGTTGTTTTGTATGGAAAAGCTGCTTTCCCCAGGTTCCACGTAAACCTCCAATAGGTCACAGGGTTGAATGTGGATCTTACGTAAAAACCCACCAGCATGCGCAACCCCTTGTTATATCTTATCAAACCTGTATGTTAACTCGGGTGTTCAGGCTTCTGTTTGACTGCTATTGTGACCCTGTTTTTGCAAAATGAAACTGACACTCTGTGGATTACTTGCTCTGTAAGGCATAAGTGCTGCTTATGATTATTTTGATATTTCTAAGAGCAAAAGCCAAATTTAAACTCTCTTCAGCAAACTTGAGCCTTTTCATCTAACTCCACGTCACTCATGGCCATAACTCTTCCTTGATCATTCTTCACTCCATGTCTCACATAATAAATTGTCTGTGGTCTTGATCCTGGATTTAAAAAAAAAGTTGAAAAGTCAAATTTGTATTTGAGGAATTCAGTGGCACTTGCATATCTCTTACAGCCTGGGCATTTTCCAAATGCATCCTATGTACTCAAGGACTCTGCTGCCTTTCCTACGTGCCTCATGGATGCCGGCCACCCTGTTGAAGCTGAATATTCAGCCATAAGGGTTGACCTGACCTGTCTCTCGCCCTCCCAGCATACCAGGTCCAAACAGGCCCTGGAAGGGAGTTGGCAGCACAGCATCCTGCTCCCACGCTCAGGTCCCCGTGCTGTCAGCTGATGCCTTCCAGCACTCTAACGCCTGACCAGGTATCCTGCCTCAAAGCACACACCTCGGATTCCTAAGGGAACTAGAATTTCAGGGCTGGAGTGGGTCCATGGGATACAGGAAAACCTCAATAACTGAAGTTCTCAAGGCTACCTTAAGAATTTAGCTTTGGAAATCATGACTCCTCAGCCACAGAAGGGCTGGGTAAAGTTATCACTGAAGCCAGTGGGAAAGCACCGAACCCTCGTTTAAGGCTAGGCAGACATGGCCTCACCTTGTTGGATTCCTACCAGGTACCAACAGATATGTGCAAAAGTAGCCTAAAAACCATTAGGGTGGGCTGGGAATGTAGCTCAGCGGTGTAAGCATCTGCCTGGCAAATGCGAGGTCAGGCGTTTGATCCCCAGTACCAAAAATAAAATAAAAATAACCATTAGGGAATTATTACAGAAAGACCTGGGTGTCCTCTGCTACCATTTTTCAAGTAAGAAAGTATTACAGGCTTTACAGATCTCTAATCAAGACTTAGTCTTCCTTTCAGGTAGAGAAATAACTTACACAGAAGTAGTAGTAAAATCTTGGTTTCATTTTTTCTCAGACCCTGGTCCAGTAAATCCTGCATCCTTCTATACAGGCAGAATATACAGTCAGTCCAGTACACTGGGCTAGTGTCATGTGTGCAAGCCACAAGTGGCCTCATTTGTCCTCACAGCACTGTGGAAGCTGGATAGAGGAAGGCTGCAGCTAATCTGACTAATGCAAGCCAGCAGGCTTTCTCGGCTATCTCATGAGCCACAAGAAAGCAGAGCAGGGCTACACCTGACCTTCCCCTAGCTGGAGGAGATAGCACCCAGGCCTGGCTTTTGTAAAACTGGGGCAAGGGACTACACTCAAAAAAAACTGGCACTGGGAGAAATGGAACACTTGAAAAAATGTCACACCCTCTGGAAAATTCTACGCTTGATTCATTTACACAGAATTCCTTAACATGGTTTCTTACAAGAATTACTGTTCCTTTGTCTGACGTGGAAACGGCAGAAAGATTTCCTTCTGAGGTCAGCACAGTGACTAAGATCTTGATTCTAGACTGGCTGTGTCTTGGCTTCTCCAAACCCAGCCTGTGAGGTGCAGGCACTCCAAGGCATAGCCCCAAGACTTCTGGTGGCCACCAGATGTGCAGGGTGTCTGGGTTTAGATGGGAAATAGGGAAAGGTAAGTTAAGAACTGTCTCCTGCTAGGAAGATATTCCATAAGATCAACATGGAAGTGGAAGTCAAGATGGCTGTGATAAGCTAGGACTGCCCAGAATGCTGTGGTGCCGCAGTTCTGGCTGATCCCCAGCCCAAGCCCTGGAAGACAAAGGAAAGAGCTAGACTGAGGAAAAAGGAAGAGGAATAGAGGCCCTGGCAGAAATGCAGCTTCCATGGGGAAGAGGGAACAACACATGTATCTTCAAGTTTTGTTTTCTCGTCTGTAAAATGGGTATCATCATGACTTGTGCCTAAGGAATTATTGGTAGGGTTAACTAAAATGTCAAGTGCTTATTACTGTGCCCATTCTATAAGTCACTTATCTTTACTACTTTTAAATAGCAAGTGAGTAGGGATGGCCAGTCCCACTGAAAAAAAGAATATGGGAGAGGCAAAGAAGAGCTTGCTCCAAGTGCCAAGGCTCCAAGTACAGAGGGATCTGGGGTTGGGCTCAAAGCAGTGCAGGAAATGAACTTCCTGGTCTGACTCTGTCCCCACAGCCCTGTGAGGCCACATTCCAGGAGGACTGAGGGGTGTAAAGAGGCCACTGTGGAGCTGGGGATGGAGAGGCCTAGAGTTGCAAAGCCTCCCGCCACGTACAGTTGCCAGGCTCGGGAGAGGAGAGACATCCAGTTAAATTTTAAGTTTTGAAATAATGTTTTTAGTAAATACTGTGCAGTATTTGGTGTATACTAATACAAAAAAGAACTGTTTATCTGGAAGCCAATGTAAATATATTTTATCTGTAGTACATTTATAGTAGGCATTTCCTTTGGGTAGGGCTTGTTTAAAGTGCTTTATTATGCCCATGTTCTTGATCTCTGCAGGAACATTTCGAAATTACCTCAGTATAAGGGAACTGAGACCCAGAGACACTAAAAAACTTCCCCAACCATCTAGATGGTTGATGGCGGAGCTCAGCTTCAGGAACCTAGGACTGATTCAAGAGTAGTAATATGACCCATGGGGAAGCCAGGATAGAGGCAGGCTACCCCTCCACAATAGTATGATAAAACTATGAAACACACGGTGAATGGGGAGAGGAGCTGCAGGGGCCAGTGGGCAGGCAACTAACCCAGGGACATCTCTCCTTTCTGTTTCTGCTGTGCTAGTGTTCAGAGGCCTCTGAGCTGGGGTTCAGCCTAGCTAGGTCATCTTGATGTCCAAGCTCAGACTCACCAGCCTGGGCCTAAAAGAGGAATGACAGGGACTTGGGTACCTGCTCACGTAGAAGGGCCTGAGTGACAGACAGAAGGGAGATGGAAGGGAGAAACTGCACATGTCACCCAGCATGCTCTGGCTGTGACCTGTCCCACACATGCAGCACTGAAGATTGTCCCAGCACTGCTTGGTTGGTGCCTAGTCTGCAGGTCACAGTGTCAGGCTTTAACAGGCATGAGCTTATCTTAACATGTTCTCCAGATGAGAGCTGGTCACTGGTCACCTGCCTTCAGCAATATAACTAATGAGTAGAAAAGCAAGAATCTAGAAATAAGTGTGATTGCAAAATCTAGTATTATCCTTGCTCTGGTGTTGACTTCATACATGAAGCCACTAGACTAGGTTAACATTCATAAATAACTGAAGAAAGCAAAAGAATATTTCATGAACATGAAATGCAAATTTCAGTGACCATAAATAAAGTTTTACTAGAGCACAACTAACCACAATCATTCCTTTATAGGTTTTCTATGGCTGCTTTTGTGCTAAAACTACAGTGGTCACAGAGGCCCTGTGGCCTACAAATTCTAAAATATTTTACTGCCTGGCCCTTTATAAATAGTTTGTCAACCCCTGCCCCACATCGTTTCCATTAATAGATTCAATACAAAGCTAAAATCATTTAAAATATTGGATACTAATTCAAACATGGTTTTGTAGAAATGTGAATCAGTAGAATCAGAGATACATGTATCTACTTTTAAGATAAAAAACTTCAAAGCAGCTTCAGGCAGGTCTGTTATGGGGCCCCTCCCACGGCCCCAGGGCATTCTTTCACTTTGGTAAAAATTTGAAAGAGTGGCCCAGCCATGATGGGTCTTGTTTGTGCATTGTATAAAAGGAGTCAAGACAGGACAGACATGAATAAGCCAACAAGAAAGAGGAAGAGGACCTAAAAAGTGCAGGAGAGTTAGGAAGATATAGAGACCAAGAAGCAAAAACATCCATGATTAAGGAAGGAGGCCCACACAAGAGTCCTCAGTCAGTAGCTGTAGATTCACATCCCCCTGCAGAGTGGGCCGCAGGGAAGGCAGGCCTGGAGGATAAACCCAGTGCTCATATTCACCACTGAAGACCAGACAACAGGAAGGCTAGGCAATTTAGACCCAAAATGGTTCCAAGCCTGTCCTGGTTGCTTTTCTCTCATTGCTGAGACAAAATATTTGACACACAAAATGAAGGATGGAAAGATTTACTTAGCTTACAGCTTATAGAGGGCTCCGTCCTTACTCAGTCGGCTCCAAGGCAAGGTGGCATGGCTGAGCAAGGATTCATGGTGGCTGCAGCAGATACTAGAAGCGACCAGAGCAAAAGGGCAAAAAGGAAAAAGCATGCCTCTTTCCTTCCCTTACATTGTATGCGAGCTGCCCACCCCTGAGTGGGTACCATGCTCATACGGCCAATCACAGCGCTAGACAATGAACCCATCACAAATGCTAGATTCAGCCATCTCTATGATTACACACGGCTTTGGGGGATATCCAAACATAAACCATAACAAAGCCCATACCAAGGCTCTGGCCCAGGCTTTCTGGAAATCATGTCCTAGCAAGCAGAGCTGAGGGGAAAACAGTAAAGAGCAGATGAGACTCTATTCAGGTAAAGAGAGCTCTTCTCCTCCCACACTGAATGGCAGGGGACCACGCACTCCCCAGGAACCCCTTCCCATTGCCAGTTTCACAGAGTTGATGAGCCAGTCTTGACCTTCGTCTGATAGAGCTGATTAGTCAGCCTCCCAGAGGCAGTGGGCTGGCTCCTAGAAGCAGACTGGGACTTCCTGGTTTCTACAGTGGGTTTGCCCTGCCATTGGTGACTGTGATTCTGGTTGGAGACCAGGATGACCTGCAGAGCAATTAGATCCAGTAATCGTTGTCACCTTCTACTCAGCACCGGGTAGTGGGACTTGAGACTCAAGATTGTATCATTGCACTGCACCCAAGTCTCTTGTTGGCCTGTGTGATAGCACACAGTGTGTAATGTGACACAGAGATGGTGCTATTGGTGCTGAGTTGTCATGAGTGACAGAGGTCTGGGAGTTAAGGCAGAGGAAGTATCACAGTTTTTAAAAGAGAAAGACGAAAGTTTACCCGATAGCCTAGTAAATTTGCATTAGTTTTTGTGAGCAAAATTGTATAAAGAATTT